GGGGAGGGAAATGGGAGGCGGCAGCGGGGAAGAGACAGAAATCTTTAATAAATAAATAAATTAATAAAAAAAGATGTGAGAGTTAGCCAATAAGAGGCTAGAGATAATGGGCCAGGCAATGATTTAATTAATACAATTTCTGTGTGATTATTTCAGGTTATTTTGGGTGCAAGCTAGCTGGACAGGATGAATAAAGGGCCACCCGCTCTCCTTGTAACAACTTCTCCCATTATTTCTTCTCTCAATCGCCTCTCCCCATTCTGCACTTAATTTTTGTATTCCATCTGTAATTATTCTATTTCCCTTTCTTTACTAGATTTTTCTGTTCCTTCTGGCCCCTTACTCTATATCTACCTTCTGTGGTTCTACAGATTGTAGCTTTGTTATCATTGACTTACGAGCTAATACCCACCTATAACCAAATTCATACCAAATTTGTCTTTCTGGGTCTGAGATACCTCACTCAGGATGATTTTTTTTCTGGCTCTGTCTAATTACCAGCAAATTTAATGATGTTACCTTTTTAAGAGCTGAATAATACTCCATTGTGTAAATGTACAGCTTTAAGCACCAGTGCTTACTTACCAGGCCAAGGTTACCTGATAAGACTGGTGAGAAATAAATCTTGACCAGGCTCAAGGGGTCACAGCAAGACTGAGGGTATGACAAGTTAATTGCAAGCAATCAAACTTTTTAGTCCCTTTCAGAAACAATATAATGGTGAGGGCCAGGATCAATATAATGGTAGTTGCCAGGATACAGTGATGTTTTCAGGCTATACAGGGCACACAAGATTAATGTCTAAGACCAATTATCCGGCCAATCTTCTGTATGCTCATTGATTTCTAGGAACACAGAGAAGCAGAGTGGCAGGAATGCTTCACTGCCTGAGGGAATGCCTGGGTTTCTCAGGAACCGAAAGGCATACAGTGCCCCAGGAGCCATGGACTCCAAAAACTTATAGCACATACCTCTCAGGGCAGCTAATCCAGGCCGACTCCAGGATTCCCTGCTGCATTTTCTTTATTCATTCCTCTGTTGAGGAACATCTAGGTTATTTCCAATTTCTGCCTAGTAAGACTAGAGGAGTAATGAACATGGTCAAGCAAGTGTCTCTGTTGGTATATGGCCAAGAGTGGGATATCTGGATCTTCAGATAGATTGAACAGCTTTGCTGTTCAAGTTTGCACTCCCACCAGCAATGCACAGTGTTCCTCTTACTCCGCATCCTTGCCAGCATGAACTATCACTTGTTTTTTTTTTTTTTTTTGATCTTACCCACTCTGACAGGTATAAGATGAAATCTCAAAGTAGTTTTTTGATTTGCATTTCCCTGATAGCTAAAGATGTTGAACCTTTCTTTAAGTGCTTATTAGCGATATGGGAATTTGAAGTTGACTTTTTTTACCTTTACTCTTTGGGGAACCCACCACCCAACTCCAAAATAAATACACAAAGACTTATTCTTACTTATGAATGCCCAGCCTTAGCTTGGTTTGTTTCTAGCCAGCTCTTCTTAACTTTAATTATCCTATCTACCTTTTGCCTCTGGACTTTTATCTTTCTCTATACTGTATTTCTGTGACTGGCCCTGTTGCTGGGTGGCTGGACCCTGATGTCTTCCTCTCCTCATTTTCTAGCTCCTCTTCTTCTCCTTTTCTCCTTCTGTTTATTCTCTCTACTTGGCAGCACCGCCTATCCCTCTCCTCTAGCTATTAACCATTCAGCTCTTTGTTAAACCAATCAGATGTTTTAGGCAGGCAAAATAACATTGCTTCAGAGTCAAACAAATGCAACATAAAAGAATGCAACACATCTTTGCATCATTCAACAAATATTCTACAGCATAAACAAATGTAATACATCTTAAACTAATATTCTACAATAGGAATTCATTGTTTAGATCTATACCTCATTTATATTGGGTTATTTGTTTTCTTGATATCTAGTTTCTTGACTTTATATATTTTGGATATTAGCTATTTACCAGCCATGTAGTTGGTAAAAAAAATCTTTTTCTAATTTGTAGGCTGCCATTTTGTCTAATGATGGTGTCCTTTGCAATGCAGAATCTTTTCAGTTTCATGAGGTCCCATGTGTTAATTGTTGATCTTAGTGGTGGTGTAACACTATTCTGTTCTGAAAGTCTTTTCCTTGCTAATAATCTCAAGGTTATTCCCTACTTTCTCTTCTACCAGATTCAGTTTGTCTGGTCTTATATTGATGTCTTTGATCAATTTGGAGTTGAGTTTTGTGCAGGGTGATAAGTGGATCTATTTGGATTTTTCTACACGTAGCCATGCAGTCTGACTAGCACCATTTGTTGAAGATGCTGAAGATGCTGTCATTTTTCCAGTGTATATCTCTGACTTCTTTATAGAAAAAAATCAGGTGTCTATAGGTGTGTGGATTTGTTTCTGTGTTTTTAATTTGATTCTGTTGATAAATATGTCTGGTTTCTGTTTTGTTTTTGTTTGTTTGTTTGTTTTTGCTTTACTTTTATTTGTTTTTGGCCAATATCATGCTGTTTTAAACTGGGAAAATAATGCCTCCAGAAATTATTATTCGGGACTATTTTAGCTTTTGTGTGTGTGTGTGTGTGTGTGTTTTCATATAAAACCAAAGATCGTCCTTTCAAGATCTGTGAAGAATTGTGTTGGAATTTTGAAGGGGATTGCAGTGAATCTGTAGATTGCTTTTGATAGGATGGTCATTTTTACTATGTTAATCCTACAGATCTTTGAGCATGGGAGATCTATCTTCTGATACCTTCCTTAATTTCTTTCTTCAAAAACTTGAAGTTTCTAATCATGTAAAGCTTTCATTTGGTTAGAGTTACTCCAAGATATTTTATATTATTTGAGGCTATCATGAAGGGTATTGTTTCCCTGGTTTCTTTCCCAGTCTAATTGTCATTTGTGTGCAGGAGGCCTACTGATATTTGTGAGGTAATTTTGTATTCGGCTACTTCACTGAAAGTTTTTATCTGCTGTAGGAGTCCCTTGGTGGGATTTTTAGGCTAACTTATGTATACTACCACATCATCTGCAAGTAAAAATACTTTGACTCCTTTCCAGTTTGTGTGCCCTTGATCTCCTTCAGCTGTCTTACTGCACTAGCTCAGACTTCCGGCACTATATTGAATAGGTATGGAGAAAGTGCACAGCCTTGTCTTGTTTCCAATTTTATTGGAATTGCTTTGAGTTTGTGTTAATGGTTCCTCAGTTGAGCTGACTTTCCTCCCAAGGGAACACTAGAGAATATTTACAAACATTTTTAGTTGTAAGCCTAGCCTTTAATGTCCAAGCCTTTTCTCTAGCCCTTGTAAACATTTTTAATGGTATTTCTGAAATAAGAGTGTCTCTTCAGTCCAGGAGATTGAGAAAGCTGTTAAATATTCTATGATGCTCAGAACAAAAATGAATTTTCTAGCCTAAAAATGTCAATGCTTAGTTAGATTGAGGCCTAAAGTGTAAGTTAAATATGATTTTACATGAGTTTTTGAACTTAATTAAACCTATCATATGTATTGAATTTAGTAATTGTTAACAGTGTACTGTTACCTCTGACTAATGAAGAAGATGATATTTATATAAAGACATGGTATATGGTTTGTTGGTTGAATTGCTGCAAATATAAACATTGTTTGTGTAAGTAAAAGGGAAATAAGTCTGTTAACTCCTGTGTATGTGGTCTGCTGGCTGAGGTGCTTTAATGGCTATCCCTTGAATTAGAAATAAAGCTTCCTGCTTCCCTGCAGAATCAGCCTGTAACCAGCATTCTCTCCCCTTGAAAGCTGACCTGGAAGGGTTTTACAAATACTGTAGAACACTTGCTTTCTTGGGTTGGCGTGGTGACTCACCAGTGCTGAGTTCATAACGCTCTTGCACAGGACTCAAGTTCGGTTCCTAGCACCCACATCAGGCAGCTCACCTCTGCCGTAATTCTAGGTCCAGGGATATGCAGTACTTTGACCTCCATGGGCACTGCATTTGTATGTACTTTCTCACAAAAAGACATATGTACATACATATATAATTAAAAATAAAAATATTTATGGTCTTTTATATTTTTGCTATAGCAGGGCTGAGGGTTAAAAATTTGATTTTCTTTTTTCTTTTTCCTTTTTTTTTCAAAAAAAGACAAGGTAGCTTAGTTTGGCCTCAAACTTGCTGTGTAGCAGAGGATGACTTTGGACTTTATATTCTCCTGTCCTCACCTTCCATGTGCAAGGCTTACAGGCATGCAGAACTGTGACTGACTTTTGGTAGAACCTGTTCTTAAACCCAGGTCCTTGTGCATGCTAGGCACACAGTATAAACTAAGATACATTCCCAGCCCTCCTTGAATTCACTAAATAATACAAAATAGTTTGATGGAGATGTTATGTGTGCTCATGTAATCAGAATACTTTTAAGGAAACTATATAAAATTAGAGTGTTTTAAAATATGTATTAGTTTTAATTACATGTGTGTATGTATGTATGTATGTATGTATGTATGTATGTATGTGTGTGTGTGTTCTGTGTTGAGGGTATGTGAATGTAAATGTAAGTGCCTGTAGAGACCAGATGGGGTGTCACACCCCCTAGACCTGGAGTTACAGATAGTTGTGAGCTACCCAGTATGAGTGCTGGGAACCAAACACAAGTCCTCTGCAACATTTGTATATGCTATTGACGGCCTAGGCATCTCTCTAGCTCCTAGAATTGTTTTGATTTTTTAAAAAGATTTACGCATGAGCCATTATTAAGATGTCAAATAAAAATGTCTTTTTGTATAATAGGTTGGACAGCACTTCATGAAGCTAGTGTAGGAGGATACTATCAGACAGTAAGTGCGCTATTAGAGGGTGGAGCAGAAGTGAATGTCAAGGGAAAGTACCAGATTACTCCCCTGCACGATGCTGTGATGAATGGACATTACCAGGTACTCGCTGCTTCTGGTTATAGAATAAACACACAGCAGGAAAGCAAGCTTCACTTTCAGTTCATTTGCTAATGAACACTCAGAATTTGTAATAGAATTCACCTTCTGATACTTACCATTAGTCCCAATATGATGGATGCCATTGTATACTTTTTTGGTGACATTTTTTTATTTGTTTACTTAATACTATTATCCAGGCTGGCCTTGAGCTCCTGGGTTCAAGGGCTCTTCCTGCCTCAGCCTCCTGAGTAGCTGAGATTACAGGAACTTGCCATTTAACATACTATTTGTATATAGTCATACAGAACATTTTTTTGCATAGTATGGTTTTCAGTGTGTACTCCTTTAAAGCTCTTTTTATACAGTGATTCACACTTTCAAAGAATGTTTCCTTCTATAAATAGTGATGTTCAGTCCAGTAGGAAACCAGCAACCTCATGGACTGCAGTAGAACATTCAGAACAGGGTAGGAGAATGCCAGAGTTAGCCACAGCTGCCCTCATGGTTATAATTCCATTCTAGTGCCAGAAAATATTAAGGAAGGTAATGAATCCAGTGTCCATGATTTATCTCAGAAACTACAGGCACTATTTTAGTGAATTGAAGCTTTGCTGAAGATGTTGCTCCTTTTCCTGCTCCTCCTATTTGCCCTCCCTGCCCTCTTTCTCCACCCCTTCCCCCTTCTTTCCCCTTCCTCCTTTCTGAAGTGCCTTACATCTAATCTGGGTGCCCATGGAAGTAAAGCACGTTATCACTGAGCTATACCGCCACTCCCTGAAGATATTTTACTGTTGATTTTAGGGATGAGAAGTTATGGGTTAAAAGCTCCTGAGGTACAAATGAGCTAAATCAACTGACCCTGGTACGATCTTTTCTTCATATGTTTAGAACAAATACCTAGCAGAGAGAGACTAAAGAGGCTTCTGGGAGTTATGGGCAGACTTATTTATGGTGTGGAAGAGTGCTTAAGGAGAATTTAGACAGTTTTGCTTATTTCGATAATGTATTTGATAATGATGGTGAATGTGGACACCATTTGTGAAAACCTGGGTAAAGAGAATTCCACACGGGACATAGTTTAATGTTAGAAGAATGACTCTAAGACAGTCCCAGTCTTTCACCATTGTTTCAAAGATTGCCGTCAATCAATCTCCTTTCTCCCAACCCAGCCCTTCATGCAGATTATCTGATTTCTATTGTAATTCTATCTTTTTCAGAATATCAGAAATATCAGAATATTTCCTGCTGTGTTTACCTTTTAAAACAGCATAATGCTTTTAACATTCTTCTCTGTTATATGATGTTAAATAATTGATATCTCTTTATTCTTGATTAATATTCCGCTCCAAGATCACCAGGATTGTAGATTTCGCTATTACATGTAAAGCTTCTATCAATGCTCAAAATAGAATGACAGAATACAGAAAATACTTAAAGTTTTAAAGTCAGTCTACAAATTCCTTAATACTCCCTTCTCAAAGCATAGAGCCTGATTCCTCCCCCCAAGGAATAAAGGATGACATTGTGATGGCTTGCTTCTAGCAAATAAGATGTGGCAGCATGTGGTTTCTAAGGTTATGTTAAGAGATACTGGAACGTTCAGTTCTTTCTCTTGAGTCATTAACTAGAGAGGGGTAACTGTTTATCATATAGACACCCAAGTAGCTATTAGAGTAGCCCATGTGGCAGTGATTATTGTTTCTGCCGATAACCATTTTAGAAAAATATCTTCCAGCCCTAGTCTAAGTATAATATGACTATGTGTCCAGCCAACAGCCTGACTACATGAGAAACTATTGGACAGAACCATCTACCTAGGCCATTCTCAAATTCCAGGCTCTTAAGGCAAATTTTGAGTTTTTTTTTTTTTCTTTTGTAGCAGCAGTTACTGAATAGATAATCCAAATGTAGATTGAAAGTAGAAAGAACACTCAGGGAAAGTTTGCTTAATTTGCCACCCTTCAAAGTTTCTATCTGGAATAAAAGTATAGCTCAGTGATAGAACATTGTTAGCTTTTGTGAGGTTCTGGGTTCAGGACCCTGGCGGGGGGAGGGAATTGCTGCACGTAGACATTTAGTAAGGCAGACTATCTCTTATCCACAACAAATCTTGTCAAAGTAGTGTATTCAGTCCTTGTCCTAACCCAGATTCCACAAGGTCACCTGACTTCCCTGTCTAACCCAGTCACCTTTTTCTTCCTCCATCTTCTCATGTTATTTATCTTGTTATTGGACACCAAATCTCAATAGCTGAGCAGCACAGTCTGTTCCATGTCAGAGCACTCTTCCTGAAAGAATGCAGTGTGCTCTGTGCTTTCTTTGCTGAACTGTATGGAAATACTTATTCTTTGACTTCTTCCTCTGACTGCCATATGTGTAATCTTAATTTTACCTATTGTTGCTTTGTTTTTGTGTCTAACATTAAATCCCCATTGTAAAGCACCACATTGCTGATTCTTAGTAATTTTTAAAGGATCTGTTTTTGTCCTGCACACACTACCTCTTTTTCTAGGAGAATGTCTCCTCTGTTGTAACTTTAAGTCTTACACTTTCACTGTAAATTTTATACAACTTTATTGTTTAAACTGACGTGATTCACATCAGATGTTATTGACAATCATGCTGATTAAGCTCATTAAAATATTAGGTCCTTTTTATTGATGGTCAGACCAAGAGCAAGTTTGTGCCTCTCAAGTCTCTTGGTGCCCAAGCTCAGGGATGCAGTTTTAAAAGGCAAAACCCACAAAGACTGTAGTTTACATCAAAGTTAAATGAGGGGCAGAGTAACCTTGAAGCATTCATTCCTCCAGAGAATGGTAATTATTTTAAACATAACTTGCTAGTTATTTTGGTTAGTACATCTGGACCATGGTCAAGGACATGGAAAACTCAAATGTGTGGCCAAGGCCAATGTGACCATTGAGGGTGGGGGATAGAGAGCTGAGAATTGTCTAAGCACACAAAATGAAGTCAGGACAAGATGGCGTTATATTTGTCATTTCTTTATTTCCTTTAAAATCATTGCTCTTGGCTAAAGGGTAATACTGAGTCCTGAGGAGCATTAGCTTAACTACGACAGTATTTGCTCAATGAACTTTAAAAGGCAATTTACTTTAGCTGGTACTTCCTATTGACCCCCAAGTCTTCCAAGCCCACGAACCCATTTAGTTGCTGTCTCTACTGATTAGACCAAAGCTGTGGGCGCGGGGAAGAAGATGAAGGACGTTTCCTAAACAGCACACTGTTGTTTCTTTCTCTTTTCCCTTCCTTCTCTTCTCTCCCTTTTTCTTGTTTTGTTTGTTTGCTTGTTTTGTTCTTTTATAAGAGGAAGGATTTTCTTTTTAAACTAATTATAACTTGGGGCAATTACTAATTGCTCTTACTGGGCAAAGATTTTATAGGTAACCCCTGACTCTGTGTTGTTGAAATAATACACCCTCTGTCTGGGCTCCTTTATGTGAACAATCTTTATCTAGGTGGCAGAGTTACTTCTTCTGAACGGAGCTGACCCATTACTTAAAAGTGACCATGGAACATGTGCTTTAGATGAGGCCAAGGATTCCTTTATGGAGAATCTCCTTAGGAAATATATTCCTAAACATAAAAACCATCACTTGTCAGGTAAGATTGAGCCACTCTCTTTTACTTTGATCATGTTTGTAGAGTTATAAAAACTGAATTTAGAATTGTAGAAATTGAATTAGTTTCCCACACAAGTTTTGAGAAAGTACATTCAACGATACCTTTGTTTCATCCTTTTAATAAAACTCACTGCTTGTTGCAATTGTACATGAGAAGAGGCCTCTCAAATCAAAAGACTTGTAGGTCTTAACAACTGGAAGATGTTTACTTTCATTTTCTCCTTTTGTGTGCAGCTCAAAGGAAGAGCACTGATCCAGCATATGTAGACGATATATTCCAGTACAAGGTAGATATGTCTTTAGTAATAAACTGTTTTTTCAGGTTTGCACCTGCTGCTTGTTTTTATAGATTAGCTGAGGGAAAGAAAGATCTGTGAAGCATTCGTCAGGCTAGTAACTTCACCTTTGGTTTAAGACATTTTGAAGTAATTGCATGAGATACCAAAAGGTTCTAGCCTGTTAGTCTGAGAAGCAATTAGTTAAGTGTAGCACACCATAGTAATGTACTGTAAGAGTTTCCTTCCTTTTGTTCTTTATGGAGTCTGGGGTTTTTCAACCATGTCAAAAGTTTTCTGATTTAAGAGTAATACAAGAGTAAAAATTACCCTTGTCAGTCCAATAAAGTTTACATTAAGTGATTATGATTCATCTTCTATTTGAGTCATGGCCTTACTCATAATTCTTCTAGAGAGGAAAGGAAGAAACTAGCTTAATTCTAGTCTTGAAAATACTCCTGTAATGCTCCCTGTATCTCAGAGTCTATAGATGTACATCTGAAATTGAAACTAATCATGTTTTTTGTTGTTTTTTTTTTATAGAAACCAAAATTAGGTTCTAATAATCACACTGAGTTTATTTGTAGTGAAAATTCTAATAGACAGGAACCAGAACATGTAGAAATCAATAAAGAAAGAAACATTTTACTTGTAAATAAAGAATATGTATATGAACATTGCCAGAAAAATACCATAGAATTTGGAAATTCCAAGCCTAGGCAATCAACTATTAACCAAATAGACTTTACAGGACATAGAAGGAGCAGAGTCCGCAGTGTGAAAGACAGCAGAGCTAATGTGTCTAAAAGTAAAAAAGGAAAAAATACACAACATAAAAAGACTCAAGCAGATGACAGAGACTGCAGTTTAAGTCAGGGAACAGCTATTTCCTCTTCCAGGGGAATGGATAAATTAGTCACTCAGCAGCAGCATACCGCTCTAACCCTCGATGACCTTCCAAAAGAGTCTTGTCAACTTTCTACCCCAGCTCTACCAAGCTTGAAAAATGATGCAGATAACAATAATGAGGCTTGTTTAAATTCCAAAAAGCCAAATACCAGCAATCTGGATTTATCAGATAGTCAAGAAATGCAATTCTTAGAGTCCATTGATCAAACTAGAGCTGTTTCCTTTTCTGAACTTTCATTATATAAAGAAATAAAATTACCACATGTAACTGCAGATCAACAACCTCACACTAACCAAGAGCAATGCAGTAGCCCATGTAAGCCCCCTGAAAACCATAGCTCAGATGAAAAAGGCAAGAACCTTAATGAATGGGAAGATTCTTTCCTCTCCTTCATAAAAGGACGCTTTGCTGACAGTGATAGTGATTGCCACAACTCTGTCAAGTCTTCGGCATCTCAGGAAGAGTGCATGGCTGTCTGTCATAATGAAGAAACCACAACAGATGTAGAAAAAATGAACTCTCGATGGTTTTTATCTTCTGAAAACTATTTTTCACAAGAAAATGAGCTAAAAGCAGGTAGCCAAACTACATATTCCCAGGAGAAATCTGTTAATTATTGTGATTTGAATGATACATTAATTTATAAACAACCTATTCCAAATCATAAACAGTGTACATATGGGATTTCTTTTGATCACTCACATGCAATTTCTGAGCACAATTCTACGTCTTGTACAAGATCACCTTCAAAACAGCAAGTTTCACAGTTGACTGGTCAAGTGGAGCTATTAAAAGTATTCCAGAATAATTCCCACAGTGAGCCAACTCTGTTAGTTAATCAAGTTAATACATATAATGTGGAAAAGAAGCAAGACACTGAGAGGAATTATACCATAGAAGGCCAAAACCCATGTTCTTCACATAGTCCTTTACACACTCATTCTCAAGTAATAGAAGTAACTAAAGCTGAAGAAAGGAGTCAAGACCTTCCAGAGAATGAGCTCGTGAATGATACAGATTTTCATTCCACTGACAATGTGAATAAAGAATTGAGCAACTCTATACACCTTGATCAAGGAGAAGAGAAGGAAATTGCTCACAAATCAGGTATTAGTATTTCTCAATTTGTACATTCCTTTTAACCTCTCCTGTAGAAATTTACAGCTGAACTCCATTTACCCTGTGACCCAGCTGATGAGGCCACCATACAGGTTGTGATTTGGGAAGTGCATAGGCTCAGTAAGGTATTTGTGCTTGACTGATTTTGAGGTGTATGCTCTGTCATCAGGGCTAGCCAGATGACTAGCACTTACTTGGAAAGTCAAATTGTTATCAAAGATCGTTACTAAACTAATACCAGTGAAACTTAATCTCTACAAATTTTTTATCTCTTTTTAATATGACACTAATTTAGTATTCAAACTCTAATATCATTTTCATGGCAGAAAATTGGTGTTCATTGTGTCTCCATTATCACTACAACCAGCACACTTAGTCTACTCTGTGAAAACATTCTAATTTTCACAAGGAGTTCTTCTTGAAACAGAAACTCTGGAAGAACAGCAGTTTTATTTTCCTGTCATAAGGTAAGTAAGCTGAACTACAAGACTAATAATCTAAATGGTTGTGTTTCAGATGAGGAGTTAACTACGAATACCAGTAGAGCTGAAAGAACTGTAAGAAATTGCAGGGAGGAAAAGGAAAATGTGGGTTCAGCAACTACATTGCCTTGTGATACCCAAGACCATGGAAGAGACCAGAATTTCAGAGAAAGAAAAGGTTCCTTGAAAGCTCCCTGCAGCCAAGGTTTGTATAAATGTTTATATCAAAGTTTTATAATTAAACCTCATTATCTACTTTACTTCAAAGAATTCCTATGTTTAATTAAATTGGTGGGTAGTTGTTTGTTTTTTATGCTGGAGAACATTCATTTAGATGTGAAATTATTTCAATTATATTTGTTGTTAAAGTTCCACTTGAGGAAAGCCAGTAGTCTCCAGATACGTTTTGGTCATATTGCTGACTATGGCTTTTAGTTTGTGACATTAGAGGAGATGAACAGCAAAGACTAAAAGAATATTCAGTGTGAGGATTAGGATTGTGTAATATCTCAGATTTTTAAGACACATCTATTTAGCCCTTTAAGGATTGTTAAAGAAGTATGGACACTATTTTTGTCACATTAATCAACTGTATATTTGTCTGACAAACTACCTCTTCTCTAGTGGTTCTTAGAGCTAATGCTTTGATGAACAACAACCTGGACCACCTCAGGTTAAGTATTAAGTACTGAAAAGTCAGTTTATATGTTGTTATGAGGTAGAAAAGGTGCTGGACAAGGCATTTTCTGTGTGAGCCTTCTTTTATTTTCCCTCTCTTGTATAAATTTTGGCATATTTTTTGTGGGCATATTTTCTACATTTCTACATATTGAGTGATGAGCCTTCCATAATGAGGCTCTGTAACTAGTGAATAACACCTCTATGGCAAATGACTGAGTATTATTATCTTCTTTAGAAAAGGAATACTTATACAAATAATCAAATTAAGGTCTTTGGGATGGAACCATTCTGAATTATCTAGATGAACCCTAAATTTAATCAAACACTTTTTTATAAGAGAAAGAGGGAAATTTGAGACATAGATCGAGTAAAGGAGTTTGTGTAACCTCAAGTTGGGAAGGCCAAAGAATGTCAACAGCCACCAGAATCTAGAAGAGGCAAGGAAGACTTGTACCCTAGTGCTTCCAGTTATGTCCTTGCTGGTACCTTGAGTCTAGATTTCAGATAACAGAATAAATTTATGTTGCTGAAATGCAACTGGCTTATAATATGTTATAGCTGACCCAAGAAACTGATATACTTCCTTAGTAGCACTTAATCAACTTAATCATATTAAGTATAATTTTGCATATGTATGTCCTTCCCCTAAATTATAAACAACTTGGACAGGGGATTGAGAATTCTCAATATTGACCTCAGGAGATTCCCTAATACTAGCTTATCTCCCAACTGTCCAGCAGTGAATTTAACCATGCCTTCTCTTCTACTGCACTCTTACCAGCCACAGCTTTCCAATCTGTATTTTAATTTCCCTCACTTAAATATAGACAAAGATCACCAGCTATTTATGAAGTGCTCCAATATGAAACATCAAATTAAACTACACAGATCAAACATACACCAGTGAAGCAGAATTCAAGAATATTTCATTTTTAAATAGAAAAAGAGAAGGAATTATCACAACAATACAGAGTTTTAGATGTTGAAAATGTAATGGAATAGCTAAGACTGAACGCACATGCCTTTAACCCCAGAACTCAGGAGGCAGAGACAAGCAGATCTCTCTGAGTTCCAGGCCAGTCTGTAACATGAGGGCCTGCTTGTTGGAGGTTCTGTCCTCCCACCAGGCCCCACAGCCGTTTGGCCCCAGATAAATCACACAGAGAGTCTCCATAAGCTCAGGCTTTGTATTGGCTCTTATAACTTATATTAGCCCATTTTAGTATATGTTAGTCAAATGGCTTGGTAACTTTTTCAGCAGGGCAGGTCACATCTTCCTTCTTCCGTGTCTGGGCAGGACTGCAGAGGAATGGGCTTCCTCCTTCCCAGAATTCTCCTCTTCTCCTTGACCCACCTCTACTTCCTGTCTGGTTGTCTTGCCTATACTCCCTGTCTGGCTACTGGCCAATCAGCATTTATTTATAATTGACAGAATATAGACAATTCTCCAGTACCACTTGCCCATCTTTTTTAAAAAAAAAAAATTTATTTATTTATTTATTTGTTTGTTTATTATGTATACAATATTCTGTCTGTATGCCTGAAGGCCAGAAGAGGGCGCCAGACCTCTTTACAGGTGGTTGTGAGCCACCATGTGGTTGCTGGGAATTGAACTCAGGACCTTTGGAAGAGCAGGCAATGCTCTTAACCACTGAGCCATCTCTCCAGCCCTGCCCATCTTTTTTTTTTTTTTAAACAAAGGAAAATATCCATAGTTTACTCTTTTGGGGGAATGTGGGCGTAGTTTTCCAGGCTACTTCCTGCTGGTTGGGGCCACTGATAATCTTATGGGGACCTAAAGAAAATTTATAATTATCCTCAAGTAATGACTGGAGTATCCTGTGAGGCTACATCATCTCTGGCAGCAGTCTTGAATCTGTTCTGGATGTAGAACTCAGACATCTAGGCCATCTGTTCCTACTGGAGATTTCTCAGGTGGTCTTCCTTGATCAAACCTGATTTTTCTTAACTCAGAATGAATCCACAGCCTCTCATTTCCTGTGGAAACAAAAGCAAAATCTCTTCTCCAAAGTAACATACCTTTTGACTTCAATTTTGAAGTCAAGTTATTTTCAAAATACCTATCTTGGATTAATTCAGCAGCATTTATAAGCAAATATCTTTTAGTAGCTGTTGCTCCTTCCTCAGCATTCAAACAATTCAAAGAGAGCATAATAACATACAGTATCAAGATTCTCTGTGTGTTTTCCATCTATATGCGGCTTTATTTTAAACTCTATTTTTTTATTTTTACTTTTAACTTCTGGGTTTTTGAGACAGGTTCTTTGTTTAACTTTGGCTGTCCTGGTACTCCCTCTATAGACCAGGCTGTCCTTGAACTCACAGAGATCTACCTGCTGGGATTAAAGGTGTGTACCCTCACACCTTGAATTCACAGAGGTCTGCCTGCCTCCGTCTCCCAAGTGTTGGGATTAAAGTTGTGTACCACCATACCCAACTACTCTTTCTTTCTTTTTTATTTTAAGGACCTTAACTTTTTGCCTGCGTATATTTTTAACACACTGTATACCATTTATAGGTTTTATTCACTTTTGAATCTCTCTTTACTGTATCTCTCTTTTTCTGACCATATGAGTCTTTAATTTGTTAAGCAATATGGGTAGGATAAAGCCATGGCTTTGACGGCTGGATCTAGCCATTTCTTAGCTTTCTGAGATTTCAGCCTCATGGCACAGGTACCGCTGGAGCCATGTTTATTGCCACAACTCTGTGGCATTTCAAGGTCCTGCGAGCAAGCAAGCTGTAGCAAACCACACTCAAATGTTCCATAGTTGGACCACCTGCCTGAAAGAGTCAAAGACTGCCCTGGCAAGACTGCCCAGAAAGCCCGCATTTTAAAACGGCATGACTTTTTTCCTGCTACAGCTGAAAATCGAAAAGCAAGCAGCCAGCTTTTCATCAACACCATTTAGGTGTTTTGTGGCAGGACCTTTTAAAAGAGCTGCAGGGTTTTGCATCTAAAGCTCAGTCAGTAAGCCTCTCTTAAATGAGAGTGCTTACCTTTAGCAAGCAGAGCAGACCCAAGCAAGCTGTCTCAGATTTTATGTGGATATAGTTGTCCACATGTTGGCGCTATTTGTAACATGAGGTCCTGCTTGTTGTGGTTTCTGTCCTTCCACCAAGTCCCACAGCCATTTGGCCCCAAAGAAATCACACAGATTTTCCATAAGTTATAAACTGATTGACCCATTAGCTCAGGCTTTGTATTAACTCTTATAACTTATATTAGCCCATTATTCTAGTATATGTTAGCCACATGGCTCAGTACCTTTTTCAGCAGGGTAGGCCCTCATGTTACACCAGTCAGGTCTACACAGCAAGTTCCAGGCTAGCATACATGAAAATAGCTTTGAAAATATTATAATCCCTGTAACTCAAGAACCTATTTTATAGAGAATAATCTTTTTTTTTCAATTTTATTTTTTACCTAAGTTGTATCCTGACTGCAGTTTCCCCTACCTCTACTCCTTACAGTCCCTCAGATCCACTCCTCCATTTCCCTTCAAAAACAAACAGGTCTCCCATGGGTTTAAACCAAACATGGCATAACAAATTACATTAAGACTAGACACAAAAGCTAACTGGAAAAGGTGACCCAGTAGGATGATAAGGATTCCACGAACAAGCAAAAGCATCAGATATCCCCCACTTCACTGTTCAGAGTCCCATACAAACACCAAGCTATACAACCATAATGCATATATAGAGGACCTCAGTCAGATCCATACAGGGTCCATGATTGTTGCTTCAGTCTCTATGAGCCCTGCTTAGTTGAGGCTGTGAGTCATGTTCTCATGGTGTCCTTGACTCCTCTGGTTCCTAGAATCCTTCTTCTGCCTCTTCACCTAGTGTTTGGCTGTGGGTTATTGCATCTTTTGCCATCAGTTGCTGGACAGTGCTTCTCTGTTGACAACTGGGCTAGGCACTAATCTATGTGTATAGCAGAATATCATTAGGAATCATTTCATTGAGTTTGGAGGTTTTTTGTGTTGTTGGCTTGTGTATGTTTATTTGGTTGGGTGTTTTGTTTTCTTGTTTGTTTTGGCAGTCATATTTGGTTCTCCCCTGGGTCTCTAGGCTTCCCAATCTCTGGTTCGTGGCCATCCATGAAGTGTCAGACATGGTCTTCCTCTCATGATGTGGGCCTCAAGTTGGACTGGTCATTGGTTGGCCACTCCCACAAGTTCTGTGCCACCATTACCCCAAGACATCTTGCAGGCTGGACATATGGGTTGAACATTTTGTGGCTAGGTTGATGTCCCAGTTTCACTGCTGTGAGCCTTGTCTGGTTAAAGAAGATGGCCAGTTCTGGCCCTGTATCCCCCATTACTAGATTTAGCTAGGGTCACTCTCATAGATTCCAGGGAGCTTTTACTGTGTTGGTTTCTATATCACCCCCGCAAGTGTCCCCCAGTTCTAGTCATCTCTTCCAGTACTCTCTCCATTCCTCCCTCCCCCTGCCTGGACCATCCTGTTCCCATCCCATCCACAAAATCTGTTCTATTTCCCCTTCCCAGGGAAATGCATGTGTCCCCACTTGAGCCCTCCTTGTTATTTAGCCTCTTTGTTGTTATGGGTTGTAGCATGATTATCCTTTACTTTATAGCTAATGTCCACTTATAAGTGAGAACATACCATTTTGTCTTTCAGGATCTGGCTTACCTCACTCAGGATGATTTTTTTTTTTTTTTGGTTCTGTCCATTTGCCTACAAATTTCATTATGTCATTATTTTTAACAGCTGAATAATACTCCATTGTGTAAATAAATATGCCACAATTTCTTTATCCATTCTTTGGTTGATGGAGAGAATTATCTTTTGTCTGTTACCTTAAAGTTCCATGTTTGATTGCTGGTGTTTGGCAAATAGTAGGAGGAGTCTCATGCTTACTGTGGTAGTTCTCTAACTTTCACTTGCATCAGACGGCTTGTTAAAGCACAGCTTTCCTGGTCCTGCCTCAGAGAGTCTGCTCCAGTAAGTGAGATGCTATTACAAACTTAATGGGTTTTTTTTTTAAGCAACACACATTTGTCTCCCAGTGTGATAGATCAGGAATTGACACCACTTTGCCAGGTCCTATCAGTAACTTTTACAGGGCTTCAGTAGAGGTGCTGTTGGGACTGGCTCTCACCTGCAGCTCAGAGTAGGATTTCCAAGGTCATGTGATTGAGGAAACAGTTCCTTAAACATGTTGTACTGAAGGCATCAGTTCCTGTGGACTGGGGGCTATCTTCAATTTCTTGTTGAATGGATTTCTCCAATATAAATTCTTCTTCATCAGAAAGTGAAAGCTGAAGGCAAGGGAATGAGTCTGTAGGAAGATAGCAAGCATTATAATCTTTGGTGACCTCATGAAGGAAGTTAATATTATACTTTTAACAGTGTTTAAGTGTTCTTTTGGTTGGAAGAAATTATTCAAGGGAGATAATTCCACAAAACCACAAAGATGAGAAGATAGAAATCTGTAAGAGGAGGTTTTAGAGTTTGCTCTCTAGGTTTGACCTGGAGCATCTGTCTTTGTGGCAAATTTACTAAGTGGCACTAATGAATGTTCTTTGTTTCTTACCCTAACTCTCTGTTTTGCTTTTATGTCGGTCTCCTTCTTCTCTGATGTGTTTAATGTGGAAAATAAACCTCTAGGTTTCTGGATTTCGGGTGGGTGTATAAGATAAAGTGTGTGGTTGCCAGTCAATTCAGAGTCCCAATTTACTCTGTATTATTAGCTTTTGGTCAGTTTTCCTGTGTTCACACATATTTCTTCCAGAGTAACTTATGACTCCAGGTGCTCATTGCCTGGATTCAGAAAGGCTTTTTCCATGATTCTCCTTGCAGGCCATGCCACACTCTGCTAAGGCAATTCATTCTTTATCAGTGACTTTTCAGTTTTGTTTCCCAAATCTGTTCAAATCTATCCTCTGTTCTTTTCTCCTGTATTTTCTTTGATAGTTTTAAAAAAAATACCCATCACTGCAGTGTAGCAAGTATGGGGAGAAAACGAGGAAAACAGATCTGTTCTTTGGTTTAGTTCCCACTTAATCTCTGTAATTTACACTGCAAAGAAATGACTTTAAAGGGATTCTTTAGAAAATGATTTTGTAGTGATTTTTTTATATAAAAAAAGTAGAGAACCTCTAAGGCCACCTTGTTACTTGGTACCATGTGTGGTAGGGACGCATACATTGAGAAACAGCTATAGGAAGAGGTGTTTGGTTTGGTTTTTTGAGAAGAGTTTTACTATTTGGCCCAAATTGACTTAGAACTCATGATTCTGATGCCTCGGCCTCCCACTGAGTGTTGAGATACCAGGTGTGCACTAATATACACATCCTGAAAGAGTTTCCATAAAATCAGAGCTTGGTTATCTTAAGAAAAAGGTGTATCCGTTGTTAAAGGATAACTGAGATGAGCGCAGAACGGAAACAAGTGTGTCTAGCTGTGATTGACTGACTAGTTGCTAGAATGAGCGCAAAACGCTATGATTTCTGCTCGTACTGGGATTAAACCAAAAGCAGCAAACAATTTTCCCAGTCCTCTGATATATGCCCAAGAAATCAATATACAGTTTTAAAAATAAATTATTTCTTTATAACTCAGCTACTGTGAACTAACTCTGAATGTTAACATATAGGTTCCCAGTTTAGAAGCACCTTAGAGGAGGGGGCAACTAGCAAAATGATACATAGTATCCAGTAGGCAGTATCAATTTTATCATTAAAGTGTTCTAGCACTTCAGAAGTTTTATCTATTATATGCCTTCTGAATACTTAAATATAGTCAGTTTACAAGATTATTAACCATTTCTTTCAAACTCCTGTTCCTGTACACCCCCCAATGGTGATGGACTCTTACGTGAAATTTGACCTAAAATAAACACTTTCTCTTTCTTTCTTTTTTTTTTTTAAGCAATGTTACACATGTTTGGTGTGGTACATCCTGTTGAGATATTATTAGACAGTAGAACTATATTTTCTAAAGTCTTTTATAACAATGAGCATCTTGCATAAAATAAGTCTCAGATTTGCTTGATACAGTTGCAGAAGTGAACACAGCTGGAATCAGGAAGAGGAATGCCAAAGGAGAGAGCCTGCTGCATGTGGCTTCCCAAGGAGGAGATCTGTCCCTAGTGAAGGTTCTAATAGCATCTGGAGCAAACGTAAATCTAAAAGATAATACAGGTTGGTCCTCTTAACTGTTTGCGTTTTTAATTTTAACTCACTGAAATACTATTTTTTCCTTTGCCCCCAATTTTGATGCTGGCTGGTAATTGACTAACTTTGAACTGTCTTTTTATACCATATTTTAATTTGGTGAATAATAAGATTTGTCACTGTTGAAATGACTGTCTTGTTTGAAGCAGTTTTTATAACAGGGAACATTCATTCAGAGGGTGCACAGAATGGGGGTAAAGGGAGTTAGTCGGGCTTTTCCTTGGAAGCCTTAGTCCCATGCCCTGACTCCAGAGAAAATGCACTGACCCAGCTCTCTGCCCATTCTTCTCCCTGCTCCCTTTATATCACCCCTTTCCTGTTTATTTATTATTCTAACCCTGTTCTAAAGAGTTGATTTTGTAACATTTTGCTTATACATAAAATAGTCTTGTATAAATAATTAAAGAAGGGAATTGAAAGGTTTACAGAATCAGGTGCCCTTTAAATAGAAATGTAGCCACGCAAACCTGAGATATGAAAGCTAAATACTGTCAAACCTGAGCTGAAGCAGGTTGAACTGATTAGCATTTGCCTTCTATCAACAACATTTATGATGGCATAATATTTTTTTCCAAAATGAAGCCTGTATATCTTAAAGCAGTAATGTTAATACTATTTCTTGTTCAATACTTAGTACATGTACATATATTTCGGTAGAGTCATTCAGTCCACTAACACAAGTGCCCCTTAACACATATTACATGAATCTCAGTAGGTATGGAACAGCTTTATTATTTCTTCTTTTTATCTTTTCCAGGTTGGACACCCCTTCATGAGGCATCTAGTGAGGGATTTAATGATGTAATTATTGAGCTATTAAAAGCTGGTGCAAATGTAAACTGTGAAAATGTAGATGGAATGCCGCCTTTACATGGCGCTGCTGTGGGCAATCATTTAAAGGTAATGGCACTTGTCACATTAGGGTTCTGTTTGCTTAGGGAAACAAGTGGAAGAAATGAAGGTATTTTAAAGTCAGAACTAACGTGATTGCTTATACTAATACATGGTTTTAAAGCCTGCTAAAATTATGAATGAAGTTAGAATGTTGTGTGTTGATTAGAAAATCAGTAAATATTTTAATAACTCATTTTTTCATTGTTAGCATGTATGTCATGTAGGTCAGAAGATAACATTCTATAAATCTTTATTTTTAGTTGTCTAAAGTGATTTGCATAAGGGTCTAATATTAGTGTTGATACATATAATAATTATTTTGTTTTTTGAGACAAGATCTTAACATATAACTGACACTGGCTTCAAACTTAGAAGGCTTCTACCTCAACGTCCTACATACTGGGAGGCAGCATGAGCCTCACACCCACCCAAGGTGTTCTTTTCTGACCTGGGTGAGGGGATGGCATGAAGTGATTGCTGCTTGGAAGTTTGTTGTCACTTACTTTATCTTCCTCTGCCAGGCAATGTAGTAGACATTCCACAGGACACTGCAGTATAGTTGCTATTATTTGCTTTGTGTATATGGTATGGATTTTGCTTTTTTTAATTTATATATTTATTAAAGATTTCTGTCTCTTCCCCACCGCCGCCTCCCCTTTCCCTCCCCCTTCCCCAATCAAGTCCCCCTCCCTCGTCAGCCCAAAGAGCAATCAGGGTTCTCTGCCCTGTGTGAAGTCCAAGGACCACCCACCTCCATCCAGGCCTAGTAAGGTGAGCATCCAAACTGCCTAGGCTCCCACAAAACCAATAGGTGCAGTAGGATCAAAAACCCATTGCCATTGTTCATGGGGTCTCAGTAGTCCTCCTTGTCTGCTATGTTCAGCGAGATCGGTTTTTGCTTTTATATCTACAGCTGTGATAGGCTGTTATTCTATCTTTTTTTATCTCTTGCCGCTGTTGCTTTTAAGAACTATTTGTTTGTTATTTCCAATGTAATTATAGCTGCTCTTGTTATCTTTTACTTTCCGTTTGCAGGAATACTTTTGCCGTCTCTTCCCTTGTCGCTCATGATATAAAGGATTAAAATTAAAATGAGGGTTTTTTTTTTTCTATTCTGCCACTTGGTAACTTTTGTTGGATAATTTATTCCTTTTACATTTAAACCAGCTATTGATACAAAAGTTTTTATTATTAACATTTTGGTTCTTGTTTTGTTATTTCTGGCTGTTTTGAAGGTTTTTTTCCCTTTTTTTCTCATTCTCTATGATTTGGTGATTTATCTAATGCTATAATTTGATTAACTTCACTTTCTCTATTGAGTGCTTACATTTAAAAAATTAATGTATTCTGTTTTTAATGATAATTTCAGCCACATAAATACATAATATTTTCCTGACCAAAAAATAATATGTGGTTTTAAAATGGAAGAAATCAAACAGAAAGAATAATTAAAATGAGAAATTTGTTGGTTATTGTACAAGAAAGGTCAGTTAAATAAGCCACATAAGTAAATTTCAACATTTTTAGACTGTTATCTTTTAAAAGGCCACATTTAAAAAGTTAATTCTTTAATTTGTATTTGTATTAGACAGCTGGAGTTTTATTTTTAAAAAAACTTATTGAACCTGATATATAGTAGTTTATCACATCACTGTATTAAGAATATACCTGTGCTTCATAAGGAAAAGACAGGTGTAATGTGGTGGTATCTATGTGGGATTGTCTTCTGTTCTATTCTTCACAAGACACCACACAAAGTCAACAATAAAATGTATGAATGTAACTGCAGTGTTTCTGCTTAGGGAAGCTATTTAGATGACTCAGCACACAATATTTTTACTTTAGATAACTTTTTAGCATGTAGCAAAAATTAATACTCACAGAAGCTGAAACTACATTTTGTGTGTGTGTGTGTGTGTGTGTGTGTGTGTGTGTGTGTGTGTGTGTGTAGATGCATGTGCATGCACATGGGACCCAGAGGTCAGCAACAGGTTTCTTGCTCAGTCACTCTCCGTGTTAGGTTTTGAGACAGGTTCTCTCAGTGGATCTTGCATTTACTTACTGAGATAAACTAACTGGCAAGAATAACACAGGAATCTTTGTTACCACTCCCTTTTGAGATTTCCTTTGTTTTATGTGTTTTAATGTTTTGCCTTCCGTGTGTATCTGTGCATCATATACATGCAATGCCCACTGAAGCCAGAAGAAGGCATCAGATCTTCTAGAACTGGAGTTATAGATGGTTATATATCTTAATTTGTTCCTTTTGGTTGTGAGTCTAGTCTTTAATGGCTGAGGCATCTCTCCAGCCCTATTTTAAAATTTTTAGACAATGAATATGGAACACAAACTTTTTTGAAGTAAGCAACGGCTATGGGAATTAATTTCCTTTATTGTTGCATTAAAATAGTAAAGCATGCGACTGCATATATGGTTCCATATTAAGACACTGGCTGCACCTTCCAAAGGACCTAGTTACTCACATGGCAGTTCACAACTGTCTGTAACTCCAGTTTCAGGGGATCAGATGCCCTATATGTCTTCTGAGGGTATGCATGCATAGGGTACATAGATATAACAAAATACTAGTTAGTACACATAAAAAATAATATGCAGCAAAGTTCTGATATATGTACAATAAAGTAATTTTTAATGTTAGGAATTGTTAAAATAATCTAGAAGAAAGATTATACTCAAGGAAATTCATATTTATAAAGGAATGAAATTCTACATGTGATAATTATATAGATTTGAAAAAGAATTTTTTTCACTTTATAAATATCTTTAAAAGAAATTTTAAATGCTTGGAATAAAATAATACTGCACTGTAGAAATAATGTGTTCAAGTAAAATGAAAGATATGAATAGCCAAAATAGTTATGAGAAATTGAAATATTCTATTGTAAAATCCATATAATAAAGAAAATTATTTACTACTTGAAGAAATATGTAACAACCTAACAATACATCATTGAAAAAGCACCAAGGCATGGTTGTTTCTGATCCCTTCATGGAGCTGTCTTGTAAAGATGAGGGAGGGGGCGAGAGCGTGCTTGCAGGAGCAGCAAGAGAATGGTCAGTGCAGCCCTAGTCTGTGCTGGCGTTCAGTTATGTACCCCTCTGCATCGCCCTTATGGGATGTTTCCCTTGCTAAGACTCTGTCTCACAGAAATAAATAAACAGATAAACCCAGACTTGGTAATTATAATTTCCAATGTAAATGATCCAATCACTGATAGCTTTCTATTGCTGTAACAAATACTTAACATCTTATAAAGAGAAAACCTTTATTTTAATTTATGGTATTAGAGATTTTAGTCTGCAGCTGATTGGGACCCTATTGCTTTAGGTCTGTGATGTATAGAATAGTGTCAGAAAGTGCATGGTTAAATATACCATGTATATTCCCAGTAGCTGGAAGACTTTCCACCAGTATTAGAGTTTCTACTAAGGAGTCTCATGTATTCCAGAATGGCCTCTAACTTGCTTATAGCTGAGGATGACCTTGAACTCTGGATTCCCCTGCCTTTATCTCATGTGTGGAGTAATGAATTCAGAGTTTCATGCATGATAGAGAATGCTCAACAAATAAAGTTATATACCCAGTCTAATGAAATCTAGAACTTTAATTTTTCACAACTTCAAATTTTGCATTAGCAAAAAGAAAACAACTTGAGTGACTTCAGATTTCTCTTAAACTCTAAAAATAACAAAAAGACCAAAGTAAAGACAATAGAATTAATAAAAACAAAGCAAACAATAAAATTAACGAAAGGAAAGTTTATTCTCTGAGAAAGTTGACAAAATTCTGGAAGTTTTTTCTGGCCAGATTTTAAACATGACAGACATTAAGAGGCTGGTAAGGGACTGTTGTTAAAATCTTACTGTACTAAGTTTAACAACTTAAATAAAACAAGCTGTTCCCTTGACACAAACTACCAAAGCTTACAAACAAAGACTGAAATAATCCTTATAACTCTACATCTAGGAAAATGAATTATCTCTATTATGCAGAATCTAGATTTAATTATATGTATGGGCGACTATTACGGAGGAAGAAGAAAATAGCTAGAGAGAAGAAACAAAGAGGAAGATCCATGGTGTGTGTGTTTGTGTGTGTGTGTGTACAAGGTACAATAATATATACACATGATAATTTCATAATGAAATGCATTACTTTGTATTTATCCAAAAATTAAATTAGGAAAACAAAATTACAAACCCTATGATCAATAACTTCTCTGAAACTATAACAAACATGCCTAAAAATTAAAGCATCATTTTAATAAAGAAACATCCCTTATAAAAAGTAATGCTGTATTGACTACAATTAAATAAACACACTTAAGCTAATAAAACATATTTGGAAAATTGTTAAAATAGAATGTTGACTCTAGATTATATAAGATAATCTAGACCAAATGGAATTATATCAGGAATGTGAGATTAATCTGTGTTTGAAGATAAATGTAATTTATCTAATTAATAGACTGAAAACAGAAAATGCCTGATTATTTGGAAAGATGTACCATGTTCATGGCTTAAAAGACTTATTATTGCCTTTATGTTTGTTCTAACTAAATTAGCACATAGATTCAATGAAATTCAAAATCTCAACAAAGATTCTCATAGAAATTGATCAGCTACATATTGAGTGAGGTAACCCAGACCCAGAGATATGATATGTATTCACTCATAAGTGACTTTTAGACATAAAGTAAAACTCACCTAAAATTCACAATCCCAGAGAACCTAGACAACAAAGAGGACCCTAAGAGAGACATACATGGATCTAATCTACATGGAAGTAGAAAAAACAAGATATCCTGAGTAAATTGGGAGCATGGAGATCATGGGGGAAGGTAGAAGAGAAGAGGGGAGAATGGGAGGGGAGTGAAGAAAAAAAATATATAGCTCAATAAAAACAATAAAAGAAAGAAATTGTTAAGCTGATTTTGAAATTTATGTGGAAATGAAAAGATTGAAATAGCTTAGACAGTTTTGAAAATGCAATCTTAGATGGTTCAACATTGTCTATGGAATGTAGATACTTATTCTATACCTGTAATAATAGAGGAATGTACTTCAGGTCAGGGTATCTCAAATATCAGCACTACTGACATTTAAAGCTGAATGTTCCTTTGTCATCGAATGCCACCATGTACATGAATAGCTGTTGAACAGCATCACTGACTTCTACCTACTCATTGCTGATAGCCTCCACAACCTCCATTTGTGATAACCAAAAATGTCTCCAAACACTGCTGAATATATCCTACTGAATACATCCTGGGGACAATATCAGTCCCAACTAAGAACCACTGAGTTTTGTATACAAATCAGTTGAACAGAAAACAGCATGTAGAAATAGACCCACAAATGTGGTCAGTTGACTTTTGACACTGATACATAGGTTTGGATAAAGAGTTGAAATCTTTAGATTTCTGTTGCAGACTTTTAAAATCCTTTAATCTTTTACTATGTACTAAAATTAATTTAAAATGTGTTATAAGCTACATGAAAGAGTTAATTAAGACAACCTCCTAAAAGAAAACAAAAGAAAATTTGATTTTTCAGATAGGCAAATATTTCTTAAATAGACATAAGCTTAATGACTGGCTATGGTGAGTTAAACTATGAAAATTAATAAACATTCTTCAAAGACATGAGCAAAATAAAAGAACAAGATTCTCAGATTAGGAGAAGCTTTATTTCCTAAGTAGGATTTTTTGCTGGCTCAGTGGCTTCTAACTGTCTCCTTTGCATCTACTAAGCAGAAAAGTAAAGATCTATTGTCACATGGTTTGCCTCCATTTTCCCCAAATCTGACCGTATTTTTGCCATCAGTGTTCTTCATGGTCTGAGTCACTGCTTCTCTGTGCAGGTAGGATCCCTGGCTATTGGACAGCTTGACACATACTAAGATCAAATTGTTAGCTGTTCTTAATTTTTGTCAATTTCAAACTTAACTATAACACCCAACTTCTTTCAATTTTTTCATTTTATTGTGTGTGTGTGCGTGTGTTTGTGTCTGAGTGTATATGTGTACCACATGTGTGAGCCTGTGGAAGTCAAATAGATCACCTGGAACTAGAGCTACAGACATTATACATACTAACATGTGACTTTTTGTTTTAGTTTAGTTTAATTTTTATTATATTCACTTATTTATGTATGGGCAATTGTAGGTTACTTATGGCATGTGCAGATATCCAAGGACAACCTGTGGTAGTAGATTCTCTTTTTCTACCATGTTGATTCCACGTATCAAACTCAGGTTATCAGGTTTGGTAGCAAGTACCTTTCATCACTGAGCCAAATCTCTAGCCCCTCTAACATTCAACTTTGAGTTACTCTGAGTAACCTTATTCATAATAGAAATGCCATTTCTCCAAAAGTCACAACCTTTTTGACTTGTTTTGTTTTAATAAAAAAAATTGTATTTACTTAGAAGCATTCAGAATGTCAACAAAACAGCTGCAATTTTTTTTTGCAATTACAGAGTGGTATTCAGTTAACAGAACAACAATTATCTTCGTATAAGCTGCATCAGAGACAACTGAAGA